TGCCCGGAAAATTTTGCAGGAGGCCAGGCGCCTTGTTTCATGCCTTCCTTGCCAGGTCTCGTAGGGCGTGAAGGGGTCATTGCCTCACATTACAGAGGCAGAACCGCCGAGGGATGTGCGCCTCCCAATTCTGGGGCCAGCGCTCTGCTCCAGTGGTGACTTTTAAGTGGCTGGGGGTCCTGGAGCCAGATCCGCGATTCTCCTCATAGTGTTATCGCGCGTGGGCCTCCCTCCACCATCTTTGTGTCCGAGCCCTAGTGAGGCGTCTCTTTCCCGTCAGTAAATGGTTTTTGCCACCAACAGAGCCAGTCATATAAAGCCCTCAGTTGACCAGGTTCTGGTTCAGCAGGGACACTCGAAAAGCAGGTGGACACACCTCATCACACCAGGCGCAGTGCTTGGTGCAGATGCGAGCTTTGGCGAGGAACACACCTGAGCTCAAGTTTCATCAGCTGCTGTAGGCTGTGTGCTATTCCACGCATTTTCTCTGAGCCTCAGTTTACTCCTCTGTGAGGTAGGGGCAACCCTTTCTGTGTCCGTGTTATAAGTATGGAGTAGGGTGTAAAATACTTCACCTAGTGCCTGCTAGACAGGAAGTCCTTACTGAGAGGTGATGAAAGGAACAGTGCTGTGAGTTCTGAGGTTTAGGCCCCTATTGTCTCCCCACCCCAGCCCTTCTAATCGAGTACCCAAGAGCCTGTGGCTTTTGACCTGGCCTCTCATGGCTTCGCAGCTCTGCTCAACCTCCTGACCCGCTGTGTCCCCAGGCAGCACCCAAGAAAACCTCATTTGGCTCTCTGAAGGATGAAGACCGGATCTTCACCAACCTGTATGGCCGCCATGACTGGAGGTAAGACAGTGCTGTTAGCCTGGTGGGTTCTTGGGAAGGGCCTCCCCTTCACTGCTTTCTCCACCCTGTCCAGGCTGAAAGGCGCTCAGAGTCGAGGTGACTGGTACAAGACAAAGGAGATCCTGCTGAAGGGGCCTGACTGGATCCTGGGGGAAGTCAAGGCATCGGGCTTGCGGGGTCGCGGAGGTGCTGGCTTTCCCACTGGGCTCAAGTGGAGCTTCATGAATAAGCCCTCTGATGGCAGGTGTGTGCAAGGAGGCAGAGGCGGCGTTGTGGACCTGGGGCTTACCTGGCATTTGGGCCATTGCCTTGGAAGCTAAGAGTGAATGAAGGAGGGAAATGTTAGCAGAGCCTAAGTAGATGGGACTCAGTTCTCTCTTATTTTCCTCAGAGGACACTTGAGGTGCAGCATATTCAACACAAGGTTCTGAGTTAATGGATCAGTCCCTGGCTCTGCCTTCTGATCATATAGCCCTGAGTGACCTCCTGGCCTCTTTGAATCTCAGTTTTCTTTTTTATAAGTGGATGTTGTGCAGGAGTTGAAATATCATTTGTACAGCTTTCAGCCTGCATGTTTTGGTTGGCACAAGCAAATGATAAATGTTGACAACTTTACCTCTTTTTGGCCTCAGAGCTGCAGTCAGGGTTCAGGAAGGCTCTTTGTGACCATTAGCAGAATTTGGACTCTCAGGAAGTACAGGAGAGACATTTGGACTGAGCATGACAAAGAGCTTTTCTGTGGCTGCTGCCACCCGAGGATGTAATAGGCAGTGAGCTCCCCGCCGCTGGCGAAGCGCCGGCAGAGCCCTGGGAGCATGCTGGGGGCGGGTGTAGAGGGGCCGGCAGCGAGAGGAGCCATCCTTGAGGCTCCCCTGGGTGGCGCGGAGGTGGCATGTGCTTGAAGCCCCAGTCCTGGTGGCCCCATTGCCTGCCTGCCTGTGTCCCCACAGGCCCAAGTATCTGGTGGTGAATGCGGACGAGGGGGAGCCAGGTACCTGCAAAGACCGGGAGATCATGCGCCACGATCCCCACAAGCTGGTGGAAGGCTGTCTGGTGGGGGGCCGGGCCATGGGCGCCCGTGCCGCCTATATCTACATTCGCGGGGAGTTCTACAACGAGGCCTCCAACCTGCAGGTGCGTCGGCGGGGTGCCTTCACTGCTGGCGCGCCGGTGCAGCCGTTCCTAGACTTAGCGCCTGTTCCGCCTGGGGTCTCACGGGTCGTGAATGGGACTTGACCCCAGAGCCGCCACTTGGGAGCCCTTCCGGCGCTCCAGCAGAGAGGTCAGCTGGGGAGCTCACACTCGGGCATTTTCCCTGCAGAAGGCCTTGGGGTGCCTTCAGTGATTTCCAGGTGGTGAGAGGCCCAGGGCCATTCGGCTCCTGCACAGCAGCCACGAGGGGTTCAGGGCAGCACCCGGAGCGGTGCTTGGCATAGCGTGGCGCCACGCGCAGGTGTTCTTACACCTTAAACCTCTAGTCTCTTCCTTTCCTGCAGAAGCAGCACTTGCCCGGCCTAAAGCCAGAAAAGCACACACCACAGATCCGCCTAGGAAGCTACTTGCTAAAATTCAGTTTATTTTGGTAGTTTTCCTTTTAAAAAAATACATATACTTGAGAACTATTAAATGTCAGTAACGCCCACGCGCGCTGTGAAAGGCATCGCTCTTTCCCGAGTGTTCTGTTCTCCCTGGATGTGATGGGCTCGCTGGACTTGCCCTCCCGTCCCTCACCGCCCCCCTCGCGCCGGCTTCCCGGGGCCCCTGGGCGCTCGGGGACGGTGTCCTCACATCCGGTCCCGCAGGTGGCCATCCGAGAGGCCTACGAGGCTGGTCTGATCGGCAAGAACGCCTGCGGCTCTGGCTATGACTTTGACGTGTTTGTGGTGCGCGGGGCCGGGGCGTACATCTGTGGGGAGGAGACGGCGCTCATCGAGTCCATCGAGGGCAAGCAGGGCAAGCCCCGCCTGAAGCCGCCTTTTCCTGCTGATGTAGGTGAGCCTGGCCTGGCCTGGGCCTTCTGTGGCCTGTGGGATCCGGGTCTGTCTGTGTGAGGTTCCCAGGGAGCATCCTCAGGGGATCCCTGAGTTCCTTCTGGACGGGGGGGAGGCAGGCCCGAGAGCAGGCTGGTAGCAACGTGGAGGCTCCCCGGGGCCACCTGCAGTCCTTCCTTCCGCTCAGCCCCCACGTCAGCCAGCCGGGTCCCTCCGAGTCTCCAGGAGCGAGAGGCAAGTGGTGAACAGTGATGCAGCTCCTGCTGCAGTTCGGGGTTTCAGCGGGAAAGGGGGAACTCTGCCCCAGGAGCAGGGCCCTAGGACAGACCCCCCTGTCCGGAAGCCCACCCCAAACTGCCCCTGCCCCCCTGGCAGCTGCCGGTCTCTGTGCATTGCCCGCCAGGAGTGTTCGGCTGCCCCACAACAGTGGCCAATGTGGAGACTGTGTCTGTGTCCCCCACCATCTGCCGCCGTGGGGGTGCCTGGTTTGCCAGCTTTGGCCGTGAGCGCAACTCGGGCACCAAGCTCTTCAACATCTCTGGCCACGTCAACCACCCCTGCACCGTGGAGGAGGAGATGTCGGTGCCGCTGAAGGAGCTCATCGAGAAGCACGCGGGTGAGGCTGGGCCAGCCGGGCGGGCCGCGGTGTCTGCAGAGCTGGTGTGGGCGTCTCGGGAGCCGCAGCTGGGCGGGGGCTGGCAGCCTGGGCTTGGACTTGGCAGGTGTGCTGGTCCCGGGCCTGACCATCCCTATTCTTTGGGGGTTGGATTGGGGCCCCAGGGGGCGTCATAGGCGGCTGGGATAACCTCCTTGCTGTGATCCCCGGCGGCTCGTCCACCCCATTGATCCCCAAGTCGGTGTGTGAAACGGTGCTGATGGACTTCGACTCGCTGGTGCAGGCGCAGACGGGCCTGGGCACAGCCGCGGTGATCGTCATGGACCGTTCGGTGAGGCTGACCCAGGCCCCCCGCCCGTTGGTAGCACTTTCCCCGGCTTCTGTGAGAACTTGGCCAGCTCTTGGGGGGCAGGCTGCTCTGCAGAACGCTTGGGGGGGAGGTGCTGAGACTCAGGCGCTGGCCTGCTCACTAGCCCTGTCACCCTAGACGGATATCGTGAAAGCCATCGCCCGCCTCATCGAGTTCTACAAACACGAGAGCTGTGGCCAGTGCACCCCATGCCGAGAGGGTGAGCCCTGGGGCGGGGGGCCCTCTGTGGTTGGCCCATGCCAGGGTCGGGCGCAGCTCTCCAGAGGGGTGGGCTCTGGACCTCGGATCAACAGCTACTACCTCTGGCCTCCACTGGCTTTTCTTAGCCCCCCACCCTGCCTGCAACCTGCACCCCTCCAGATTGCCCCCCAGCTCCTGGCAGGGGGAGACCAGCAGGCCCCTCTCTCGCTGCCTTGCTGCAGGTGTGGACTGGATGAACAAGGTGATGGCTCGCTTCGTGAGGGGGGATGCCCGGCCGGCAGAGATCGACTCCCTGTGGGAGATCAGCAAGCAGATAGAGGGCCACACCATCTGCGCCCTGGGTGACGGGGCCGCCTGGCCCGTGCAGGTACCCGTTGCCCTGCTGCCTGGCACTCGGTGCGGAGTGGGAGGGTGCTGCAGCCCAGGACACTGAGACAGTGGGGGACTTCCCACCCACTTTCCACCGAATCTGTCACTCCAGGGCCTGATCCGCCACTTCCGGCCGGAGTTGGAGGAACGGATGCAGCAGTTTGCCCAGCAGCACCAGGCCAGGCAGGCTGCCTCCTGAGCCAGGCTCGGCCGCCTCCTGCCAGACGGCTGGATAATAAAGCTGGTGCAGCCCACTCTCCCCTTTGCAGCTTCTCTGTGGCCTTGCCCTTCGCCCTGCCGCCGGCAGCCCATCACTCACGGACGCCTGTCTCTAGACAGATTGGAGGCCAGGTCAGCTCAAGGTCATGTCCTGACTCCACACCTGCTCTCCTGTGGGCCAGCGACCTTCCTCGACCACCCTGAACGCCCGTCCCCCAGCACAGGAAGCAGAGTCGGGAGGGCCGCTTCTCCCGTGCTACGCAGGAGGGGACAGCAGTGACCTGGGGTCCCGACCTGTACCTGGCCCAGTGCCAGCCTCTGGAGGTGGGAGAAAGAACGGGGCCCAGTCTGCCTTGGAAGGTTGCGGGCAGAGGAGGGTGTGCGCTTGCGCCAGAGAAAGAACAGGCTGTCTGGGCTGGTTGGAGGAGATGTTTATTTGTGAGTTGGCGGTGGGGTGAGCTTGAAAGGTGGGAAGGGAGGACTAGGACTAGGCACGGTGCTGGGGCAGCCCCCAGTGCTCCCAACTCTGCAGATGGGGTGGGTCAGTTATGGGGGGGTGGGAGGTCAAGGTCAGGCGGTGCTCCTGCTAGTCGCTGAGCTGGAGGGGCACTCCGTCCAGCAGGTGCCACAGCTCCAGCCGCCGGTCGCTGCGGCCAAGGCACTCACGCCAATGCCTCTGCCGCTCCCCACTGGCCTGGCTACTCAGCTGCACCCCACCTGGGTTGGGGGACATGGGTCACGAATCATGGGAGCCCATCGGGGCCTCCCTCCCCCAAGTTCCCACCTAACCAATGAAGTCGTCGGCAGTTCCCAGGTCATAGTCCCACACGGACACCAGCAGCGTCTTCTGGGCCAGCTCCTCCCTCGCGCCTGCGTAGAAGAACTCCTGCAGGGCAGGGGTGAGAAAGGCAGAAAGGAGGTGGCCCCGGGTCCCCACAGCTTCACAAAGAGGCTCAGCCGGCGAGTGGCTCGGGTGAGCTGCGCCCACACTTTCAGACAGGCAGGACCTGTGCCCACCTCAGCGCAGCTGGAACTGCTGCTGCCCAGCCCGGGCCTACCTCATTGAACTCGGGGTTCAGGGTCTTCTTCCGGACGCTGGTCTTGTATTTAGATTTCTTTCCCACGTTTGGATGCAGGAAGCTGGGGAGGATGGGGCAAGTGAGAGGTGACCCTGGAGAGGGGGGCCCACCTGCCCGCCGCTGCTCACACTCACAGGCGGACGAAGGGGTCAGAGTAGCCGTTGGCGTCCATGGGTGCGAGGTGGGCACAGCGCAGCACGCCCACCAGCAGGCCGCCCCGCTGGGAGCTGTAGCACAGGGAGAGCAGGATGCGCCCCCGCTCCTCCCCGGCCACCTCAGCCTCCACTTCCTCCTGCAGGGGGCGCGGGGGTCAGCCCTGTGCCGCCCAAAGCCTGCCCGCCCAGCCGCATCGGGACTCGGACTGGCTGCCAAGTCAGCCAACAATTTCATTCTATAGTTCAGTTTCCAGAAAGCCGCTGCCTGGGGTCCTGGACGGGAACGTCCTATCAGCTGTTCCCCTCTGGGGCCTGAGAAGAGGGGGGGCTTGCGGGGGCCGGAGCTGGTGTTCCGTGCACCTTCATGCACCCTGCTTGGGGAGAGGGCGGGACTGAGGCCGCCGGGGCAGGTGTGCTGGGCACTCCCCGGCGGCCCCACCAGGTGCCCATCCTGGCCCTGCTGGGGGCAAGCCCCAGGTCACTCCAGAGCTGGTCCCCACCTGGGGCCCACGGCTCCCTTCAGCTACAAACCCGCCCCCTTCACCCCCCGCTGCCCCGGGGACCTGACTGTCCTTTGTCCTTTCCGGGTGCTCCAGAAGAGCTTGGGCGTGCGCTCGGGAAGAGGGTGCTTCTCCCGCCTCCACATAGGGTTTGACTTGCCCGAAGCGCGCCCCAGTACGGGAGCCCTCCGGGCACCGGCCGCACCGTGGCATGGCTGCGCCTCTGCTGTGCGTGGGCTCTGCCGAAGTGGGCGCCCAAACGTGGCCCCGCTTCCCGTCGCTGCCCGCCTGGCTCGGCTAATGGGCAGCTGCGGCGACTTGTGGCTCCACCGGGGGGTAGGGGAGCAGCAGCCGGCCCTGGGATCCCAGAGGTGGGGGCCTTGTCCCTGCTGGGTGGCAGCGCTGCTTTGGTCCCATGGGGGACCCACCGCAGTCGCCTTCACTGCTCCTGGAAGGGCCCCTAGCCGGGGGGGGGGTCGCACCCACAGTCTCCCCACCAGCGGCCAGGGAGCCCCACCCCGCTGTTCTCCACCTTGACCTGCCCTCTGAGCTCGGACCACGGTCAAGTTCCAGCCTCAGCCTCGGGCTGGCCCGTGTCCGGTCTGAGGGCTCTGCTTGCCGGTCCCAGAGCCAAGTGGCTCCTCTGGGCGGTCCTAGCGGGCACGGCAGTCCCCGGGCTACAGGGCCCAAGGGCCCACGAGAGGGGCCTCAGTCCCGCCATCCCCTGCTCCCCTGCCTGGCCCACGTGGCCCAGGGCGCCGGGCCTGCTCCGTCCCCATCGGACCCACCTCCTCGTACAGGGACATGCCGCGAGCTGCGTCCAGGCTCTTGGGCCTCTTCGTCTGGAAGAGCAGAGCGTGGTCACTGCCCAGGCCCTGCCCCGCCCCCGCGCTGCCCCCGCAAGGCCAGTGCCCCGCAGCCACCCACACTCACCAGCCGCCGCTTCTCCAGGCACACGTCGAAGCTGCGGGCTCGGTTGGGCACCAGCTTCCTCAGGGGCACCCGCAGCTCCCCCAGGGGAGGCGCCCTCCGCCGTCGGCGCAGCCTCGGGTCCTCGCACACGCACAGCCTGGTGGCTGCCCGCGTCAGACCCGGCCCCGCCCGCGCCCTCTGCCCGCGCCCGCCCCCGGCCCGGCCCACCCTCACCGCAGGGTCTTGCGCCCGGCGTCCTGGCGGGTGAAGCCGTGGTAGGTAAGCGTCTCCTCCCAGACCGGGCCCCTGGTGCCGCGGACCGTGCGCGTCCGGAGTTGGCTGGCCTGGGGGCGGGCGGGGGCAGGGCATGCGGTCCGGCTCTGGAGTGCCCCCGGGCAGGGCCTCCTCGGTCCCCGGCCTGGCAGTGGGACTCCCTGCTGGTCCCCAGGCGGGGCCGGGGTGGACCCCGCGGCAGCAGCAGGCCCCGTCGCCCCTACCTTGCTGGCCCCCGGCAGCAGATTGGCTTTGATGTAGGTGTCCACGGAGCCCGAGGCTGGCGGCTTGAGGCCCTGGGAACAGACGTGGGGTGTGGGGCGGCCCGGGCCAGGGCCCCGGCCCAGAGCCAGCCCCCCGCCCCCCGCCCCCCTCACCTTGGCGCGGTGCGCAGTGCAGTGCAGGGCGCTGTTGTCCGCGTCGAAGAACAGCGTGAACTCCAGGGTGCCCAGGGCGGCTAGGGCGGGGCAGGAGGCAGGTGGCCGCGGGGCGCTCCCAGCTCTGCACCCCCTTCACGGCCCTGCCCTCCCCCGCAAGGCCCGGGTGGCCCCAGACCCGCCCCGGCCGGCCCTTCCTTGCCCACTCACTGCTGTCGTCCGAGTCTCCTTCCGGCTCCTCCGGGTCGGGCTGCGGCGGGGGTGCGGGGCGGCCGGCGGGGGCCGCGGCGGGGCGGCCGTCCAGGGCTCGCAGGGCGGGCTCGGCGAAGGGGTAGAAGTGCGGGAAGTAGTCGGAGATGAGGCGGATGGGCCGGATGGGGCCCGGGCTCACGTCGATGGCCATGTGCTCCTGCATGCTCACGCGCGGGGGCTGCCGCCAGCCCCCCGCCGCCCTGCCCGCCATGGGGGCTCGGACATGAGGCCGGGGCTCAGGGGAGCCCCCGAGGGCCGGAGATGAGGGGGCTGCAGGCGAGCCCCGCGTCCAGGTGAAGAGGCATCCCTGGGGACACAGCACAGGGTCAAGGCAGGTGGGGACCCCCCAGCCTGGAGGGGCCCGGCGGGCAGCAGGCAGGCCCGGGGCTCCTCACCCGGCCCGGCTCGCTGCTGGTGCTGCCGCGCCGGGGCCAGGAGCCTGACTGAGGCGACCCTGTGAGGACCAGAGCTAGACCGGTGGGGCCTCTGGGGACTGCTGGGGAGGGCACGGCAGGCAGGAGGGGCCGCTCATCTGAGGGGGCATGGGGGGGCTCCCAAGCCACACCTCCTGCCCTCACCCAAGGGTCCCTTCCCGAGCAGGGCCCAGCCTCCCTTCCCACCCTCTTCACACGCCATCGGGGAGCTATTTTTAGCGTGTCATGTGGCCCTGCTCCCAGGTGAGGACGCTGGACGGCCAGAGGTGGCACCAGGGGTGTGAGGGGCCGAGGGCGGGGTGTGTGGGTGACTGGGAGGTGTGGAGGGGGTGCAGGGGAAGGTGAGAGGCGTGGGGGGGGGGGCGCCTGCACTCGGTCCCCTTCCGGGAGCCAGCTCAGCGTCCTCAAGCGGGGTTGATGACTTCACCCCTCCCCTCTCCCGGCCGGGAAAGAAATGCCAGCCATCACGAGGCGCAACCCCTGGCACCTCTCTGCCCCTGCGGGGGCGGCGCCCCCCTCCGTCTCCACATCACTCTTGGCTTTCTCCAAAGCCCCAGCTGCGTGCCTTGTGGCCCCTTCTGCCCCCTGCCCTTGGAGCCGGCCTGCTCCTGCTCCCTTAGATTTCCAGGTCACTCGAGGAACTGGGCCATTGTCACCTGCTCAGCCTTCCCTTCCGTGTCCCCCAGGGGTCCTCTGGGGCCGCCCTTTCCCTACTCTCAGCCGTGGAAGTTCACCCTTCTCCCCAGGCCTGTGCCCCATGCCCTGCCAACCAATGCTTCCAGCTCCAGCAGGCAGGCTTCGGGGTGGCAGGCAGGGAAGGCGATGTGACCCCAGGCAGGTGGGTGAAGTGCAATTGTGGTTAGACTGGCCCGGGAAGAGCGACTGTTTTCTGTGGATTGGCACTAGTGCTGTGCCAGCCTCAACCTGGAGCACCCTCTGCCCTGCGGCATGCCCCGCAGACGTGGTCCTGAGCGCAAGGCCAGTCCACAGCCAGAGTTCAGAGCCCCCAAGTTGCTGGATGCAGCTACGCCCGAAGCTCGCTGCTTCAGGAGTCTGTACTCACCATTCCTCTTGGCACAGTCGGGCAGTGGGTGGTTTTCTGTCACCCTGAGTAACAGCTGCCCATGAAGGCTTCCCAGATCACCCAACCCCTCAACTCTCCCACAGAACCTTGGTCTACACAAGTGGTATCTTAACGCCACTGTTACCTGTGGTGAGCTCACGCGCCGTGCCATGATGACCTGCGTGACCCGGTCCCTGGCTGCCGGGAGCCTGCTGTCCTGCAGGGAGGTGGAGTGTTGGAGAACACCTGTCCACTCCGCACGCAGAGTTCCAGAACGCTGGGAGTGCTGCAAGCAGAACCTCTTCCCAGGACGGCCTCCCCTTCCCTGAGGATGCACTGGCTGGTGCGCGTGTTCCCTGCTACCAGGGCAGCTTGTTTCCAGCGCCAACTTATTCGTCTGTAAAAGCGAAAACACAACTGCGCGCTACTTTTTGGGCCCTTGTTCATCGTGAGGGCTTGGGCTGGGCGAGTGGAAGGCAGAGGCTCTCGACGGCGCTCCCCGGCCTCGCCCCAGTGCAAATTCATTTGGACTCGCGTCTTCACTGGTGGCGGAGAAGGTCATCGGCTGTCCCCACGCAGCACAAGGTCTCCTCTGAATTGAACCCCGCTTCCCTGCAGAAGGGAGGGCAGCATCTAGCTGCTGCCTGGGGGCTGCTCAGCCTCTTGGGACTTGCAGTAACGTGCAGGATGCCTGCAGATGGCAGCCGCCCGCTCGGGCAGCCAGGCACGCCGGTGGGAGGACCTGTGCGGCGCAGGGGCTAAGAGCTGGGGCTCTGGAGTCAAAGGACGTGGTTAAATCCCAGCTTCCAGTGGCCCCTGCAAGGTGTTTATGCTCCCTGAGCCCTGGCCTCCCGCAGCCAGGGTCATGACCGGCCCCCACACGGCACTGAGAATCTGGCACACAGGGAGTGCCTGCTGCTGTGGGTAACTGTGATTGGACAGAGGCGCCCCAGCCAGAAGCTGTCCAGTGGGGCCTGCCCGTGGTCAGGGTCCCGGTACAGAAGACAGTTGCTCCAGAGTCGGTACAACCTCTTTATTCGGTCCTGGAGTGCAGCCGGCCTGCAGGACAGAGGCAAGAGCAGGCGAGGGCCAGGCCCTCAGCCCTTGAGCAGCTTGGGGCTGGCCAGGCGGGGCTGGTAGGTGTCAGGTGCCAGCAGCTGCAGGGTGAACTCTGTGATGATAGCCGTGAGCCCCCAGACACGGTGTGGCCCGTGCAGGAAGACAGGCATTGTGTACTCGAAGTGGCCACCCTTGCAGAAGTGTGTGTAGCCCTGGTTCTGGGCCTGCAGCAGATGGGCCAGGGGCAGCACGAACACCTCGTCCACCTGTGGGCAGGAAGCAGCAAGAGGGTAGACAGGGACTGGCCGCTGTGCCTCCTCCACTGGGACACCCTGCCCCCCAGCGTCCCTGCTCCCCTGCTCACCTCACTGGGGTTGGGCCTTAGGCTCTGGGGATCCAGTTGGCCCACACCAGCCAGCACTGGCACCACGGTGGCCTTTCGCTGGGGTGAGAGGAGGGCAGGTGTTCAGGGGAGGCGGAGCCTGCGAGGAAGACCCTAGCTTGCCACCCAGAGGCCTTTGGCAAGAAGAGCCAAGGCAGCCCCATTGCTCCCGCCTTGCGCTCACTCCAGCCACACCGACTAACCCCGCCCCCAAGTGCACTGGGCCATTCAGGCTGTTCCTGCACCGAGGACGATGTTCCCCTACTTCCACGGCCCTAAAAGCCTGTCGTTCCATCCCGCTCCACTCTGAGCGGCCTTCTTCAGCCCTCAGCCCCCTGACCTGAGCCTCAGTGTCCCCTGTGACAGGGGAGGAGAGCAGCCCGGCCTCCTCGCCCAGCTGTGGCGGGGCGGGAGGAGGCCCAGGCAGGTGGCCGGCGCCTGGGGCTCACCTTGTCGTGCAGAGGCCGCAGGAGGCCCCACACCTGCTCCTCGGGTACCGTCAGGCCCAGCTCCTCGCGGGTCTCCCGCAGGGCGGTGTGCACCACGTCCTGGTCTGTGGGGTCGCATTTGCCGCCTGGGAAACTGAACGGCAGGAGTCTAGGCCTCGGGCCGCGGGGGGCACCGGGCGGGCAGGCGGGGCTGCTGCAGAGGCCCCCAGCCCGGCCGCCTCTGCCCCTCGGGCCTCACGTGGCTGCTCCAGGCTCAGTCTGCCGTCCTGGGCGGTGCAGTCAGGGGGAGAGGCACCCAAATTCTGCGTATGGAGGCCCCGCCCCCCTAGGACGCTGACCCCAGGGGCCCCGCGCCCGCCGGGGCGGCGCCGGGAGCCCCGCGTTCTGCGGCGGGGCCGCGTCTCCCGCGGTGGCCGCCAGGGGGCGCGCGCCGCCCGGGGAGACGCGGCCGGCCCGGGGGCCCGCGGGGCCGCGCTCCCCGCACAGCCCCGCGGCGGGCGGCGGCGGCCCGAGCCGCCGCGGAAGGAGGCGCCCGCGCCGCGTACCTGACCTCGCCGCGGTGCCGGCCCCGCAGGCGGCGCGAGCGCAGCGTGTAGAGCAGCGCCGGGACCCCGCGCACCGAGCACAGCGGCACGAGCACCGCGGCCGCCGCGGGCCGCGCGCGGAGCCGGGCCGTGGCCCCCGCCAGCAGCCGGCGGCAGCGCCGCTCGCTCTCCGCCGACAGGAAGTCCGCCGGCATGTCCGGCCGGGCGCGCCGGGACACCCAGGGCGCCGCGGGACGCCGAGGGCAGGGGCGGGGCCGCGGCGGGAGTCGGCCCGGACGCCCCGCCCCGCCCGGGGGCTCCCGAGGGCGCCGGCGCGGCCGGGGCGGGGCCTCGGAGAATGGGGCGTGGCCACGCGGGCGGGGCGGGGCCATGCGGGCAGGGCGGGCGGGGCGTGGCCATGGGTGGGGCGTGTCCAGGAGGGTGGGGCGTGGCCAGGAGGGCGGGCGGGGCGGGGCCAGGAGGGCAGGGCGGGGCGTGACCAGGGGTGGGGCCATGCGAGCAGGGCGGGGCGGGGCGTGGCCATGGGTGGGGCGTGGGCAGGAGGGTGGGCGGGGCTATAGGGGTGGGGCGGGGCCAGGGCGGGGCGGCGCGGAGCAGCGGCCTCTCCGCGAGCGGCAGGGGCGGGCCGGAAGCGTGGGGACGGGCCGGGGTTCCGGCGGGAGGGGCGGTCCTGGGCGGGGCCGGGGCGGGGCCGGGGCGGGGGCGCGGCCGAGCCCCGCCCCTCTGGCCGCTGCTCCGGGACTCGGGGCGTCGGGCTGTTGGAGCCCCGCGGGGCGCCACGTGCCTGCGCCCGCGTCTGTCGGCCCCTCTCCTGAGGGCCCCGCAGGACGCGCCCCGGGACGTGCAGAGCCGGCCGTGGGGGTCCCCGGGGCGCCCGGCCCGGCCGCCCGTGCGCGCCCTCCCTGCTCTCTCCTGGGGGTGCGCGGGCCGCCCGCAGCGGGGTCCCACGGCCCGACGCCGGCCCCGCCCCTCCCGGCCCTCCCCCCGCCGCGCCCCGCTCCGTCCTGCCCCCGCGCCCCCTGCCCGCGTCCCCCGGGGGCGCTGGTTTAGATATACTCCCCGGGACCCTCAAACTCCTCCCCACCCGCGCTGGGCCCGCGGCGCGGCCCGTCAGGTTCCGCGGACCCGCCGCCGGCGCCGTCCCGGCTCCTCGCCCGGGCGGAGGGGCGGCCCCGGCTTTGCCGCGGGCGGGTTCGGGCCGGTCGGGGCGCGCGGGCGCGGCGCAGCCTCCCCGCAGCTAGACGCTGGGGTCCCGGCGCCCTCAGACCCTCGCCACCACCTCAGAGGACAGAAGCGCGTGGACCACCCGTGACAATGGTTTAATGAGGGGCCAGGGGCAGATCAAGCAGGTTTGGAGGGGTGTCCCCCAAGGCAGAGGGGGCAGGCCTGGAGGTGGGGGGCTGGTTCCTCAGAGCACAGTTCCAGCCTGGCGATGGCTCTGGGGAGGCACCTTCCACCTGCGACGACTCTGAGGAGCACAGGGACCCCGCAGAGGGGGGCTAGGGGTGGGGCCCAGGGGAGAGGGCTCTGTCCGCTGGGCTGCAGTCACTGAGGCTCCTGGCTGCGCCCCAGGCACACGGTGGTAGGGGACAGGAGCCCCAGCCCAGCCGGGAGGGCGAGGCCCCCCTGATCCCTGTCAGCCTGAATATTGGAGAGGGGGTAAGGTGTTGGTCGGGCCCTTGGGACCCTGAGGGGGCCTGAGGTTCCGGGGTACAGGTCCTGGTAGGTGAGGGGCCGGCAGGTGACGGGAGCCAGCAGAGCCTCAGGGGGGGCCAGCAGCTGATGGTGGAGCCTGAGAGGGGTCCTGGAGGTGGAGCCTGGACCTTTGTTGGGGTGTGAGGGAGGAAATGGTCTGAGTGGACCCCAGACCTCCCTCACGTCCTCAGCCCTCACCCTGGCCTGCCCTCTCCTCTTCCCTGCTCCCCTGTTCCAGTCGCCCCCCCACTCTGCCTTTGCTCTGTTCTTCTCTCTACCTGGAATTTTATACCCACCTTCTCCCTCTGTGCAAACCCTTCCCAGTCCCCCAAGGCCTGGCTTAGGAACCACCTCCTCCAGGAAGCCCACCTGACACGCCCGGTCCTGTTCTCTGCCTTGGTTCCCCCCCACACATTGTCTTAGAAACTTCTGGCTTCTCTCTGTTCACATGGGTGCCCAGGGGGCTCCCTGAGCATGTCAAAGCTCCTTCCTGAAGTGTCTGTGGCCTGTCCCCTCACTTCCTGCCCACTGTGCAGGGCTGGACCCCTGTGCCTGGAAGCTGACCTTTGTCCTGCTCGGTGGAGCCCTTGAGCAGGCCCGGACTGAGGCTGCCACGGCTCCGGGCAGAGATGCTGAGCAGCGGGCGCGGAGACACAGCCCTGAAAATGGGCCTGGGGTCAAGGGGAAGGACCCAGGCCTGAGGGTCATGGTGAGAATCAGGCAGTGGGAGCCTGGGGCAAGTCAGGAGCTGGGGCCTCGGGGAACGGGGGTGCGGTGTGGTTAGGGCAGCTGGGCAGAGCTGTCGGGGCAGTACCAGGAATCCGGGTCACTTTCCCTAAAGCCCTTAGCAAAGGGGTTGCTGGCGATTTTCAGCTGGGTGATCTGCAGGGGAGAAGGTGTAGTTATGGGCCAGCTCTGAGCCAGCACAAGGCTGTGGGGCCCCTGACTCGGCCACTCTGGCCTCCCTGGACCCCCGACCTGCAGGCCCTGGCTCCCTGGGCCCCAGCCCCGGAACCACGGAGCTCGTAGGCGAGGGCAGAGACGCCCGCGTCCCAGGAAGGGGAGGAGAGCGGAGGCCCGTGTGCACGCGGGGGCAGGAGCCTCGGGCCTCACGCTCGCCCCAGGAGAGGGCTCCAGGCCTCGCGCCCCCGCCCACGCACCCGGTGGTTCTGGTAGGCGGTCACGGCCGTGAACTGGGTCTCTGAGAAGATGAAGGACTTGAAGTTCTCCTGGGCGTAGCGCTCGCTGTCCTTGCGCGGGTCCACGAAGACCACGTGGAAGCGGGGCTGGTAGCGGTGCATGGAGTTGAGAATGATCTGTGGGGCACAGGGGGTGGGGAGGGGCAGCGAACCCTTCGCCCCCGGCGGGGAGGCCGCCCCTCCGCCCCTCCGGTGCGGGCATTGAACCCGAGGGGGTGCAGTTCTGCCGCAGGCCCTGGTGCATCCAGGCGCCTCGCTGCTCCGCCTTTCACACCCACACCCGCCTCGGACTCCCCTTCAGAACTCTCCAGAACCTGACCCCTCTCCCCCTCACCGTCGTCCTTGGGCTGTGATTCCTCCGCTGCCCCCACCCACCCCCTGCCCCTTTCTCCATTCTTCACACAGCAGCCGCCTCGTGTCAGCTCCAGCTCACCCGCCTCGCCCCTCGCCCCTCGCCGGCCGCCCAGCAGCCTCCCTGCACCCTGCACTGCCCCACGCGCTCGGCCTTCTCCAGCCCCAGGCCTGTGCCCTTGCCGCTCCCTCCACCGTCTCTGCAGCCACAACCCGGGCCCCCACCCATCGGGCCAGCGGCCGGCAGGGACGAGGGCCCCGAGGCCATCGCCACCGCAGTTCTGGTCCGCCTGGCTCCAGGCTTCCTCGCCACCGGCCCCGCCCCCGCTGCCGGCCCCTCCCGCTGTGCCCCGGGCCTCACGTGGCCGTTGTCGTCCAGCAGGTTGTTGGTCAGCTTGAGCTTGTCGAAGGACACGATCTGGCGCATCCACTGCGCGCCCTTGGCGGGCGAGTCGGGGTGGAAGTGCACGCGGCCGGGCGGGGCCGGGTCTGCCTTGCCCGCCACCAGCCAGGCCGAGCTGTGGAAGGCGTACCTGGGGAGCAGAGCAGGGAGCCAGGGCGCCCCGTCTGCGCTCACTGCCCCCCTCTGCGGCCTGCACCTAAGCCCGCCCTGGCCCGAGGGAGGCCGGATGCCGCCTGGCCCTGTGCGCCGGGAACCAGCGCTCGGGGGACGCGGCCCAGCCCTGGGCTGTGCTGCCGTCCTGCTCGGCCACGCCACTGCCCAGGCTGGCCCGCCGCCCTCTCCAACCGCTGCCCCGAGCTGGGCACCTTCTTCCCTCGGGATTCTCCTGGCTGCCCCAGGAGACACCACCCCGTCCCGGCTCAGACCGACCCTTCCCTCCCGGGAGCTCGGGTCCCGGCCACTTCCTGCCTGGGCCCTGCCCCAGCCCATCGCCGCCCGGACCTGTATCTCTTGTTGTCCAGCGGCACGAAGTCCATGAGCAGGGCGTAGTCGGCCAGCGTGTCCATGCCCAGGATCTTCACCTGGAAGTTGGGGAACATCCTCCTGCGGGAGGGGGTGTTAGACTCCCGAGGCAGCTGCAGCCTGGCCCCAGCCCACCCCGGCCGCTGCTACCTGCCGGCCTTGGTGACGATCATCTCCGTGCCCAGCTGGTTGAATTCCTCCCACAGGCCCTTCATCTCCAGCTGGACTGTCACGCCGGACACGCATGGGTTCTTGGGACCCTGCCCAGTGGGCTCGGCCATGGCGTGTGGCCCTGGGGATCCGGCAGCAGGGCCTGATGAGAAGGACGAGCCCAGGCGGGGCTCCCAGCTGGAGCCGGTCACCGGCAGGGCATAGGCCTCTGAGGGGGCAAGCACCCCTCGGCCAGCGGAGAGGAAGCCTGGAGGAGAGGGGAGGAGCTCCTGCTCGCCTCAGTCACACCCGCTCCTCACCCTGCCGGCCCTCATCCTTCAGGCTGCTCCTAGGTGCCTCTTCCTCCACGAAGCCCTCCCTGACTGCCAGGCTTGCGTTCCCACAGCACCCCCACATCAGCATCACCTGAAGTGAATGCTCCTGAGTCTTTTCCCCAGCAAGCTGCCGGTGGCCAGGGCCAGAGCCCTGCTTTCTCCCAGGGAATCTTTGAGCAATTTTTATTCACCTCTGGAGCCTTGGTTTCCTCATCTGTCACAGGGTTTCTTATTCCTGCCTCGGGGCCGGTGTGAGGCGCCACCAGGACACACATGGGGCCTGGCACACGGTAGGCCTGTCCTAACCAACTCCGGTATGGACGACAGTGTGTGTGAGGGTGGGGTTGGGGGCTCCCGGGGGGCCCCAGGGCCTGGTGCCGCAGAGCTGAGCCGAGAGGCGCCCCCATCACCACCAGTTACTCTTTTCCATCTCTGACGTCGAGAACCTGCCCTGGTCCTTCCTCCAGAAGGCGCCCCCACATCTCTGTTCTGGCCGCCCCCCTTGGCCCGCAGCCCGGCCTCGGCCAGAAGCGTTGCCACCCGCCCCTTCTAGTAAAAAACCGCCACGCTACCCAGCACAGCTTCACCCCCACGAGGGAGGCTGCTGCCAAGGACGATCCCCAGAAATGGCACGTGTCAGTGAGGGCCGGGAAGTCGGAGCCCAGGGCACAGACTCCCCGTGACCCAGCAAGCCCACTTCCGCACAAAGCCCCGGGGAGGCTGGCGGGAAGGTGCGGGAAGGTGCGGGATGCCGCGGCCGGGACCCAGAAAACCGGCAACATGGCCGGATGTATGTTTCCCCACAGTGAGGGGCTTTTAAATTGAAAGAAAAAACCCCGAAAAACAGACTGTGAGTTTGTAGCAACCACGGGAGCGGCGAGGGCCGCGGGAAGCCTTGGGGCAGGGACGGACTTCGGTGTGGGGCGGATGGACGGACAGACAGCCGGGTGCTGGGGGAGGCTTGGGGGAGGGAGACCGAAGGTGCTACCGAGGCAGGGCCGCCCCCTGTAGCCCCGGGGGCGTGGGGCCCAGGCCCGAGGCCCCGTCTTAGCAGCCCCAAGTGCCACCGGCAGCTCACCAGATCCCTGGGGGCTCTGCAGTGAGGGGGGTGGACAGGCCCCCAGAGGGCGCGAAGGGAGACGGCCCCAGCACCTGGGACCAGGCCGTCGGAGGGCCCCGGGGCAGGTCTGTCACCTGGAGAAGCAGCCCCCCGGCCCACAGTGACCAGTCCCGAGGGGCCAGCTCAGGCGTCCTGGGGTCCAGGGTAGCCATAGGCAGCTCTCCGGCGCCCACGCCTCCCGCGGCCCACCCCGGCCATCCCGGCCAGCGCGCCGAGCCTCTCGGGGAGGGGCCTGTCTGCCCCAGGCCAGCCGCTCGCACAGGCACCAGGTGGGAGTTTCCCGCGGGCGAGGACTCAGGGCTGGGGGGAGCTGAGGCTTCGTGTCCAGCTCCCCACCTTGCTACTCGGGTAAGAGGGGAGGGACGGGCCCGGGGCACTCGCAGCTGATAAGCCTTTCCCTCGGGGAAGTGGCTGTGTGCCCCTGCCTGTCAGCACCCCAATTCTTGTACTTGAAGTGTGGAACCTGAGGCTCCAGCATGGGGGCCCCCGCCCCCCTTTCCTTGGGTCCCCAGCCCCTGTCCCCGCCCTGTCCTACCCGCTGACCCTGGGCCAGAGCCCCCACCCCCAAAGGGTGCCTGCGATGCCCGAACCCTACCTGCCATGGGGACACCCCGATGTCCGGTTGCTGGAAGTTCCGCTCAGCTGGGGGTGCCACCCAGGCCCTGCCACAGGAGGGGTGCTCAGCCACTCCTGGCCTCGGGCTCCATTCCCGCGGGCACTCCCGGAGCCTGGGCGTGGGCAGGCCGCCCTCCGCTCCCGCCGCCCAGGTCCTGGTCCCCCCGGGGCCAGCACCTGCTCTCTGCAGGCAGGACCCTCGGAGTGCGGGCGCCTTTCTCCGACTCAGGCGGGCTGGCGAGGCCACTGCTGGGTGGTCCCGCTCCAGGCTAGGCTGTGCGATGAGGCAGGGGGGTGGTGCTGACGTTGCCGAGCCTCCTCCCCCTCCCGGCCCTCGCCTGGCTCCCTCCCTCCCCAGTTCAGAGCCCCCCAGCCGTTCCTGATCAATGGCCAGCCCGGGCAGGGCAGGGTGGTCCGCAGGGGCCCCGGCCTGGCTGGCCGAGGGGCCTGGGGGGATGGTGACTGAAGGGCAGAGGGGGTGTCCTCTCACCGGGCCGGGGCCTGGCCAGGCTGAGGGCGGCTGGTGTGGACTCGCTTGGAAGTCTGAGTGGAAATGGGCGGCAGTTGGTCCCGCAGGAGCGAATCCCCCGGCTGGGCGCAGGAAGTGGGGGCCCTCCTGTCCGCTTGGCCCAAAGAGCCACGCGAGGGAGGCCGGTGCCCGGAGACCCTCCGTCCTCCCAGCTGAACTCCCTGCGCCGCCTCCTCTGCCTGCGGGGGCCGGCCCAGCCTGGGGAGCAGCAGCCCGCACCCACCCTGGGGTACCCACACAATCCCCCTAGCAAGGGAGGGGGTCCAGGCAAGAGGCCTCTGGGGACCGTCCTCCCCAGCCTGGCCAGGCACCTTCTCCAGGCTGCCCCTGCCGTCCAGGGCGGGGCCCTCGGCGGCCACCAGGTCACTGGTGAGACAGGCAGAGGGCCGGACCCCCGGGCGGCCACGCTCCTCTGACAGCGCTTGGCCATTTGGTCCAGGCGGGTTATCTGACGAGACCCTCTGGGGGCCAACTTCACAGCTAGCCCAGGGCCACGCCCGAGATGAGGCCACCTCAGGGGGGCCAGGCATGCTCAGGTGGGGTTCCCAAGGACAGCTGGCCTCCAGAGTCAGGCTCCGGGGGTGTCAGGAGCGGGGTCGTGCTGGAGACACGGAGGCGCGGGGCATTGGAAGGGCCGCTTCTCTTGTGTGTGACCTGCAGGGCCCCCCCAGACTCCCCCAGAGCCCAGAGCCGGGCCAGAACCCTCCTCCCTTGAGCTCTGGATGCCCACCAGTGCGGCACCCCGTGCCCGTATCCCTGCCTGCCCAGGTGGGAAGGAGCCCGCGGGGAGCCTGGCCCAGACCCGCGTGCAGTCCGGGAGGAGGACGGCGCCCGCCCGGGCGGTGCAGGCCAGGGGCGGGGTCTCTGTGCCGTGGGGGAGATTCTCGGGGGTCCTGCGAGCCACCCCATCTCAGGACCCACGGGGGGGGACTCGCCAGTGCTTGTCCAGCTCAGTGCACCTGTGCGTGTGTGCGTGCACTTGCACACGCCTTGGTCTGTGCAATGGGCAACGCCAGCACACCCTTGCTCACGCCGCTGGCTCTGCACTCCCGTGTGCACGACAGGCAGGCTCCCCGGCCCCTCACGCACACACCACACACACAGGTGCGCCTCCCTGCGCAGCCCCGCGTGGCCGGTCTGTCTCTCCTGCCCGAGGCGCCGACTGGCCCCCTGCCCCCTCATCTGTCTTGCCTGCCAGCCTGTCCCTGGCGCCCCCAGATCCTTCACACCTTCTCATCTCAGCGCTCAATAGCAGGAGGCATGTGGCAGCCATGGCCGCGGGGAGATGGATGGGCTGGGCTGGGCAAGAGGCGGGGCCAGCGCGCTGGGCTCTCAGCCCTGGTCCCCCCGTAGGCCAGCACCTCCACTCTGCCGGCTGGGGCGCATGAGGCTCTGCCCTGCCTGCCTAGTTGCCTTGGTGCCCTGGCAGGGAGCACAGGCTCAGGACTGGGGGCCCAGCAGCAGGACCCCCACCACTGCCTCCCCCACCCTGATGGTGATGTGGGCGGCCTGGGGGGCAGGCAGAGGGGAGGCCCCCCAGGTAGGACTGCCCAGTGCCCTTCCTTAGCACCTAGGCGGGCTGCTCTGGGTGGGGAGAGCCTTGTGAAGCTGGCTCACCCCGCAGGCACACCTGGATGCCGGGTAGGCTTGGTGCCGGCCACACTCCCTTCCCTGCAGAACAGCCAAGGTGCTGAGGTGCAGGGGCCCACGTGTGGACACCACACATCCGTGCACAGGTATGGACACCCATTTCTCTCCCAGACCGAGTCTCTGGCCCCAGGGACAAGGGGGGTCAGGATGCCTCCCAGGGGGTGTTTCCTCGGAACGTCCCTCTTCTGGCCCCAGGACAGTTTCCCCAGACCCTGGTGTCTGCCCTTGGGTGCTGATGGACGAGGTGGGCACAGGGACGCCACCCTGGCGCTATCACACGCCGTGTCGGAGGCCACGCCTGAGGCCACAGGGAGGGGCCGCGCAGATGGAGAGCAGGAGCCGGCCCTGGCAGCTTCCACTTCATAGAAGTGAGCAGGCACCGAGTGGGGGCATGGGAAGGAACGTGGCAGACAGCAGGGGTACAGGGGCGTCGCTGGGCTCAGGTTGGGCCTCGGGACCTGTTCAGATGGGAGGCTGAGGCCGGGCAGCTATGGTGGTAGGGCTAGGGATGGGGTGAGGGACCCGGGGCGGGGTCCAGCGTGGGCAGGGTGGGCATGGAGGGCACGGAGAACAAGAGCTTCTTGGTCTGGATGAAGGCGATGCCCTTCTCGTAGTAGGCGGCCTCCTTGATGAACACAGGGTGCACCATGGGCACCCCCTCCTTCAACACGTCCTCGCGGCTGAACATCTGGAAGATGGGCGCGCCGGGCCCTAGAGGCCAGAAGTCTCGGTCCTGCGAAGAGTCGGGACAGAGGTTGTCGAGCAGACCCTGGCCCAGGCCTGGCCTGGGGGTGGGGGGCGACCCCAGAGGAGTTGCACGAGTGATTTCAGTCAGTTCTGGGCCTGGAAATAGAGACGCTGGCAGCCTTAAAAAGACGCCCGTCGTTGCAGGGGCAACCAGCAGCAGTGGGCACAGACTGTGAGGCCTGGGTTCAAATCCTTGCTAGCTGTGTGACCTTGAGCAAGCCGCTTGACCTCGCTGTTCCTCAGCTTCCTCGTGTGTAAAACAGGATCATAGACCATCTCCAGGGATCACCCTGAGGTTTAAATTAAACAGTTAACAGCACTTGAGAAGCAGCGCCTGGCACACAGCCAACAGTCTAAGCATTTGTTCAATAAACTTGAAAACTGGTGCAGAAATCCCTCCCAGGGGCTGCGCTGGCTTAGCCTCTGGAAGGGAGACAGGTGGGCAGCTTCAGACCCTCTGGTCCTCCATCACATAAAAGAGGTGCTCCCCACCCCCTAAAGTTGTTTTGAGTAAAATACATCTCAAAATAAAACACAATGTTGCAATAAGAGTGAGAAAGTCCCACCGCTCCCCCCTGAATGCCAGGCACCCAGCCCTGGCGTTGGGCCTCCCAGGCATCTGGGCCCAGCCTGCTCTACTGCCAGACTAGTCTCTGGACCGGCCCGGCTCCAAACCAGGCCCAGCCGTAGGGGTCCAGTGACTGGGAGCGGGTGAAGCGTGAGGCTGGGTCCCCTGACACGTCTCCCCAGGGCCCGCTCCCTCCTAGAGCAAGAGTCTCGGTCAAGGAGGCGGAGACCTCCTGGGGTCACGGGATCCTTGGGCGCAAGGCCCCGGGGCAGCTGTTTGTCACTCAGACCCGCAGGTGCAGCCCTGGGCTCCAGGAGGTTGAAGGACTTGGACTTGGCCAAGACTCCCTCCCCCCATGCTGTACATGAGGGGTGAGGTGGTGGGAGGGGGTGGGGTGAGCCCAAGTGTGCCACCCTCCCTGCCCCCTCCCTCCCCGCGGTGGGGGGGTTCTCACGCTGGACTCTGGGAGGCCCACTGCAAACGTGGGGTTCTGCTGACTGGGCCCAAGGTGCCCGGGGAGGAAGGAAAGGCCTGCTCAGCAGATCTGGCTGTTTTGGGGGTTGCTGGGGACCAGCACACTTCCTGCCAGGAGGCGCTGGCCCCCACTCTGGGGAGGACAGCAGTAGAGATGTCCTGGAAAGTTTCACTTCCCTTGGCTGGGGTCCATTTTCCCCATTTCAGAGGGTGTTTATAGAAGGACGTCAGGGAGCCAGGCCAGCACCCCCAGAAACAGCAGCCGCAGCCCCTACCCAGCGCGTGTGCGGGTCTGAGGCTCTGTGTGCTCACGTCTGTGCCGACGTGTCTGTGCCGACGTGTGTCTGTCCTCGCGGTGAAGACAGCGTGGCGGTGGCGGGGCCAGGGCAGGCCGGGGCCACCAGGCCGCCGCAGGGACGGTGCGCCCGGGACTTCGGGACTTCAGGAGGCGTCGGAGGGAGGACAGCACCTTCCAAGAGGTGCTAACAAAAGCGTGCCCCAGAGCGAGGTCAGAAGGCCCAGGAGCCTGAACGGAAACAGTAACACCTGAGCGAACAAGACCCTGGGCTGGGAGGGAAACGCTAAGACGCTCGCCCGAGCGGCTTCCTTGCCCCTCCCCGCACGCGAGCCTGGGAGTCCTGCTTCCCGCCTCTAAATAAGCCTTTTCTTTAAAAATAAATAAATAAATAAATAAATAAGCCTTTTCTTTACTTTTTTAAGCAAAGTTTGTTCCTCTCGGCTTGCTGATCCAAGATGTCGGCGAATCCCTGCCGATGGCTTCGCGGGGCTGGACCTGCTGGACCTGCGGTGGCTCAAGGGCTCCCTGGCCCCTCTCCGCCCGTGTCAGCTGACAGCGAGCGGCCCCGCTGAGCCCCCAGGCTGGAGGCGCCCTTGGCTGACCCTCGGCCTGGCTACTGTGCGGGGGCGAGAGAACGCGTGCCCAGCGGGCGCGGCGCCTGCCCGCGAAGGGAGGAGGGCTCACGACCAGCCCTGGTGGCAGCCCCGGTGAAAAACGGGCCCAGCCGCGGCAGACCCCAGCGTGACGGCGGGCGAGGGCGATGTTGTGGGTGTCGGTGGGTCCCGCTCCCTCACTGCAGCTGGGGAAACTGAGACCCAAAGAAGGATCAGGACCTGAGTGAACCCACAAAATTGTAGTGTTTGGCCCAGGAGAGCCATGTGACCCGACAGCCACTGCCCAGTGACTGTGGAGCCTCCCGCCTGACCATCCAGCATCTCAGCCGGGGTCTGGCTGTGTCTCTGGCGCCTGGTCACCCCTCTCCTTCCACCTGCCATCCGTCCACCACCCTCCCGTTCATCTACTCACTCTTCCATCCACCCACCCGCCCACCCGGCCACCCATCCATCCACCCACCCATCCATCCACGCAAACATCCTTCTATCCTCTCACTTCCGTCTTCATCCTTCCTTCTGTCATCAATACGTCCCTGTTAAGCACCTTTTCTGAGTCCACGCTGAGCCTCCCTGGGCTCTGTCGCCCTAACAACTCTCAGGGTGGCAGGAGAATCGTACTTCCGTCTTCCCTCTGCCTCATCCCACCCTGATACTACTAATCCAGTTTTCACGTCTCTCTGAGCAGAGAGGAAGCCACTGAAGCCGGATTGGTCCCAGGGAGAGTCTAGAGAAAGGAGCAGGGGCTGGGCATGACGGACCAGATGTGCTCTGCTCACTGGCCCCGCGCCCTGCATTTCCCAGGAAGCCCACCATCATTCAACTCTGCTCTCTTTTCCTGTGTAAGTTTAATTCACCCCCATCCTGTCTCTAGGCTTGAGTTTCTTCATATGTCAGATGAAATAGCCAGATGTATATTCTACCCTCCCTGACCATCTTCTAGGACAGCTGTGACCAGCATGTGCATGGCCCCTCCCATGCCCCTAGCAGACATCACAAATCAACTGCTGCACACATTCCCGTTAACTCCACACTCGGCGCGAGTTCTTGTTAATGAGGCACTTCAGGCAGACGCCGCCAGTTGGCCAGCTCTGGATCCAAGATCAGATCACTTCAGGTTAGACAAACCCAGATCTCCAAACCAGACGTGAGTGGAACTGTTAGAAATTGCTCTGTATTGGGGGAGCCTATTTGTAAATCTAAAACAAGTGAGTCCTTTCTAACCACAAGCACTCCCCAACCTTATGAGGGTGACTTCTCCATCACCAGACATATTCAAAGAGAGGGTCAGGGAGGCTGCAGAGGGGACTTGGCCCTGAAAGGAGCTGCACCCAGGGGCCAGGGGTCCTGCCGGCGGGGGTCTGTTCAGACGGGCCCTGGGGCAGGACCTTTGCACTCCTCCTTGGGACGTCTGCCTCGCGGGGACCACTGAGCACCTGGTGGGGTGGGGTGGCTGGAGTCAGCCAGGTGTTCACAGAATGGTGCAGCTCCAAGTCCCCACAGCCCAGCGGATCAGCTGCTGATTTCTGTCACTGTAGGGGGGGTATCGGATTTCGTTGAGCTTCTCCAGGCCTGGGGGGGCGAGCAGGCAGGAGCGGTGGTGGGAGAAGGTGTCAAAAGAGAACTTCCCGTGGTATCTTCCCATCCCGCTGTTGCCTGCATGGGCACAGAAGTCAGCGCCTGAGTCAGGCAGCCCATTGCCCTGGCTGGAGGCCCCAGCTGGCAGGAGCTGGGGGTAGCCCGGCCCCACTTTGCAGACAGGGAAACTGAAGTTTGAGACTTTCAGGGCTTGGACCAAGGCAGACAGGGAGCGAAGGCAAAAGTGCAGCTTCCTGGGCCTGGCCACGGGGTTGGGGGAAGGCTGGAGGAGACTGGAGGGTGAGGGAAGGCAGGGAGGTTGGGGACTCACCGACGCCCCCCAGCGGCAGGGACAGCAGCGTCAGGAAGGTGAAGCCATCGTTGCCAGTGAAGCTGCCACTGCTGGTCTGGTCCAGGACCTGGCTCACTACCTGGGGGCAGGAGAGGAGCGGGCATCCTCTGGAGGAGCAGGGGAGCCTCCCCCCCTCCATCCCTGACTGCACAAACTCGGCCCCTCCTGGACTCCCTGCGCCGGGGGGAGGCCATGACCTTAATACAGGACAATCAGGATAGCAAACAGGCGCAGACAGTGGGACAGCCATGCTCTGTCCCACCCGGAGGAAACCGTGGCACGGTCTCAGACAGGGGCTCTGCAGGGGCAGGGCAGGCCAGGGCAGAGAGCTGGCCAGCCGGGCACTGCAGGGCTTGGGCTCCCATCATCCAGAGGGCCTGGATCTGAGTCATGCTGGAGGCAGCTGCTGCCCTAACACTCCCAGGTGGGCTGTGAAAGGAGAGCTCGTGGCAAGTGTGTGAGCTTAGAGCCCCGCTGTGCCTGCACCCGGCCAGGCCCGAGCCGCACCTGGCTGCTGCTGGAGAAGGCGTACAGGGCCAGCGGCTTCTCCCGTCTGTTGATGAACTCGATGGCCTCGTCCAGGCTCCCCACGGTCACGATGGGCAGGATGGGCCCGAAGATCTCCTCCTGCATCACCGGCTCCGTCTCCTTCACGTCCACCAGCACCGTGGGGGCTGCGGGCGCAGGGACGGCTCAGCCCCCGGGACGCAGCAGGGACGTGGCGGGGCGCCCTGGGAGCCCCGGGCCGGGTTCCCGGGGGGCCTGCACGCGGCCTCCAGCGTGGGGCCCGAGCCCAGGGCCGGGGGAGGGGGGAGGCCGGGCTCACCGATGTAGCGGTCCCCCTCGTCGCTCTGGCCCCCGATGGCCACGCGGCCGCAGCCCAGCAGGCCCTGCAGCCGCCCGAACTGCTTCTCACTGATGATGCGGCCCAGGTTGGGGGAGCGCTGGGGGTCCTCGCCGAAGAAGCGGGTGATGGCCCTCTGCAGCGCGGGCAGCAGCCGCTCCCGCGTGGCGGGGCTGCACAGGACGTAGTCGGGGGCCACGCAGGTCTGGCCGGCGTTGAAGTAGCGGAAAAAGGCCACGCGGTTGGCCACGGTCTGGGGGTCGCAGCTGTCGTCCACGTAGCAGGGGTTCTTGCCCCCCAGCTCCAGCGTGACGGGCGTCAGGTGCTTGGCGGCGGCCGTCATGACGATCCTGCCCACTCGCGGGCTCCCTGGGGACACAGGAGTTGAGCCTAATGCCTGAGCAGCTTTGCCTGATGCTCAGCGTCAGCTTCCCGGCCCCTCCTGCCTCTCCCGTTGGGCTGACTGTCCGGGCCTGCCACCCCGGAACCCGCCCCAGGAGCCTGGCCTGCCTACCCAGGCTGTGGCCATCAGGGCTTCTCCCACCGCTAGTCACCCCCTCGTCTTCCTACATAGCCTTCCTGTCCCTGTTCTCCAGCGTCCCCCCAGGACCCAGCCGGGCCCCCTCACCCGTGAAGAAGATGTAGTCGAACCTGTGCTCCAGCAGCCGCCCCGTCTCCTCGGGCCCGCCCAGCAGCACGGCGAAGCAGCTCTGCAAGGCGGGCCGGGCGGTGGGCTCCCTCTGGGACCCCAGCCCGGGAGCCTGGAGGGACTGCCCCCTCGCCCTGCCGGGGGCTCTAGGTGGGGAGGGGAGACCTCCAGGGGCCCAGGCGGCTGTGAAGGGGGGGGACCTGCGGGGGAACCCGGGCCAGGCCCAGGTGAGCGGGCAAGTAGAGATGGGGCCCCTGGGGCGGAGTGCTCGGGGGCAGCTGTGGTCGCCAGCCCCGTTTCCCTCGGAGGGGGCAGGCCGGACGGGGCCACGCAACCCAGAGGAGACAGGACCGAGGGAGGAACTCGGGTCCTGCCCCCAAGGACCCACCTGTCCCCGCTGGTCTGCCCAGTCCCTGCTCACCTGGTCCAGGTACCGGGGCAGCACCTCGGCCAGGACCTTCTCGGTGCCCTTGCTGATCTCCGACGGCTTCAGCACCACGCAGTTCCCTGCGGGAGCTCACAGGGGTGAGGGAGAGGGGGAGGAGCAGAGGGTGCCCTGGCATTCCCCTGGAAAGGGGGGCTGGACTCAGAGAGCAAAGATGTCGGGAGGCGCCCAGGCTGGGCCCCATATCAGTGGAATTTCTGGAACCCCTTTGGGAAGGTCTGTTTGGCTGGGAAGCCATGGGGTTCAGGACCTTCTCACCTGCGGCCAGGGCCCCCACCAGGGGCACCAGGGTCAGGTTCACGGGGTAGTTCCAAGGGGCGATGACGAGCACCAGGCCAAAGGGCTCCTTGCGGATGAAGGTGGAGCTGGTCTTCGTTAGCTGGGACACAGCAGGGCATGAGGTCCCCTGGGGCCACCCAGAGCCCACCCTGGCCTGGAGCGCCCTGCCCCGCCCCCCCCCCCACCACCTCACCAGGCTGTTGGCTGTGGGCTCATCCTTCATCCAGTTGCGCAGGTTCCTGAGGGCTAGCTCCACCTCATTCTGGCATAACAGGAGCTCAGAAATGTCCGACTCGAAAGCCGACTGTGACGGGGGTGGGGCACCGTCAGCCCCGGGGTACCCACTGCTTGGGCTTCAATGGCCCACCAGGGATGAGGGGAGTCTGCAGGACCGGCCCAGCTGGTTCCCTGGGAACTGCTCGCTGAGCTGAGGAGCTGGGCCAAGGCCAGGCCCTGTGCTCCCGCCCTGGGTGCTCAGACAAGTGGCCTGACCCCAGGCCCTGCAGTGTCCCCAGTGGCAACACGTGACCACAGCTGAGCCTGCCCGCCCGGCGCTTTGTGGACGAGTCCAAGCTGTGGCAGCTCATAGCAGCCCCTCACCAGGGAATAAACAGGGAGGGGTTGAGGCTCTGATCCCCACCGCCCACCCTGTGCAGGCCCCACAGGCACCCACCACCCACCTTGTGTAGGTCCTCCGCCAGCGCCTCCTGCAGAAGCTGCTTGTTGTCCTGCAGGAAACGGTTCAGGCCTTCGAGCTGCGCTGCCCGGAACTCAGCCGGCCGTGTCCGCCCCGCCCGGAAGGTGTCCCGCAGCCGCTGCAGCGTGTCCTCCAGGGAGTCCATCCTGCGGGGGTGGGAGGGGAGACATAGTGGGCCATGGATGGCCTGCCCCCATCTGGGCTTACTGAACCCCACAGGGACTCATGGTCACCCCACCAGGGCCGGGGCTGCTCTGCCCCTCCACACTGTAACTCGCTCCCACTCCCACCAGGCCCCGCCTCCCAGGCCACCAGGCCACACCTGAATCAAGGAGCAGGGATTCGACGGCTGCCCTGCAGGGTGTTCTTGAGAGCCCCCCTCTTTGGCTGAAGCCAGAGCCCCTGAGCATACTTTGCCTCAGATGTCACAGAGCTTGTGCAGAGCAGTTGGGTAAACTGTGGCCTGGGCTGTGCCATGGGAGAATGAGGAGGGTTCGGTGCTATGGGGAGGTGGTGCTGAGAGCAAGCTCTCCGAGCATGGTGCAGTGGAGAATGTTCTGGAGAACAAGCACTGGGGAGAGGAGCTGTCAGGCAGGCGGGCAGGGCTGAGGCTGCCCGGAACTCCAGTCCCTCTGCTCTCAGCATGGAGGTCCAAGGCAGGCCCTGCAGGAGGGCCAGGGCCCAGCGAGGCTCACTCGGGAAGGCCTGGCCAGATCGGAGCGGGGGTCTGAGCACCCCAACCCGGCGGCTGCACGTTGCGCCTGTGTCTCTATGCGTCCGTGCGTCTGTCTCTGTGTGTCTGTGTGTGGACGGGCCTGTCCCCAGCCGTCGGCAGCACTGCAGGTCCAGGCCTGCGCCCCAGAGCCTCACAGACATCGAGTGAGCCGTGCTCAGCTTCCCCGACCCTGCGGGGGATGAGTCAGCACATCCCAAGAGGGCAGGGCTCTGGCCTGGCCCTGAGGACACAGCCTCGACACACCCCACTCTGTGGGCAAGCAGGTGGCAGGGCTCCTGCCTCCCTTCATGGTCGCGGGGCCCTGCTCGTGCTCCCCGGGAAGGATGAGAAGCGAAGCCACCTGGCTCCCTCTTCAAGGTGCTAAGTGGAGACCTCACCCCCGGCCCCCAAAGCCCCCGCGCCCCTCTCTCCCCGACGTCACCTGCTCCAGGCCCAGCGGCTCCCACTGTCTTCTCAGCCTCTCTGCAGCCGCGAATTTTCTGCGTGGCCGCCCGCGGCAGAGATGAGCAGCGAGAGCCACTTTGCCATCCGGAACCAAATCCCAGCTCCCCCCAGCCCTCCCCGGACCCCAGCGCACAGCCTGTGACTGCTCCCTGGCAGCGGCGCCTCCCTGCCTCCCCGGGCCTCGCCCAGAGCTGGGGGCGCCTTGCTCAGCCAAGGCAGGGTGTGGGGCACAGCCAGGGCAGCACGGTGCCCCCCTCCCCGCCCTGTACCCCCACCCCACTCCCTCCACCTGTGCCCACCCGCCCCGCCCTCGGGCCACGGGCCATTACCCCAGTGTGGGCTCCGCGCCAGGGTCCCCCGCGGAGCCTTTGCCTTCTTTGCCCGACATTCTCTCTCCAGAAGGCCGACTCTGCTCCTCACCTCTGCCTCTGTCGCTTTCCAGTCCTCCGGGCCTGAGAGCCTCTGTGCCCACGCCTGTGTGGGTGTTGCCAAGAGAGACATAAGAGTGGCAGGATCTGGTCGGGCCACCTCTTTATTCACACCTGTGCTGCCCCAGCGCCGGGCTTGGCTGTGCCTGCTCCAATCAGCTGGTGCAGGAACAAGTCACACTGTTCTCCTCACCTGGACTGGCAAGGAGTTCCCTGATGACGAAAAAGAGGAAGATGCCCAGGTGGGACACAGGGCTGCACTGCCCCTTCTGGGAAGCCCTCGGTCCGCTCACCGCACATGTGTCACAGGCACTTCCTGTGGCGGAAGCAGCTGCAGGGAGAGTCTGAGGACAGCGCAGTCCTTGTCCTGTGTCCTCCGGTGTGACGAGGGCAAGTCCCCCGACCGTCTGAACCGCGCTGGGATAACAATGTGTGCTTCGCTATCTCGGTTCCTAGGCTCATGTGGAAAAATGCAAGACGCTCGAGTATCTTGAACGCATACTTGGTTCTGCTGTGGACTCTCAGGATGACCCGCCCCTGTCCACCTACCAGCCCTGGACATGCGGTCAAGAACATTCACTGCATGGGCCTCCCCCAGTGGCGCAGCTGTTGAGCACTGGGTTGTGAGGCTGCCCGCAGCCTCTGCAGCGCCGGTTCGATCCCCGGCCACCAGAGGAGGGTCCCTCATGGCGCGCAGACCTCTCCTGCCGCCCGCTGCTCCCCTCAGCAGTGTACTTCGGTCCTTCTGCCTGCTCTGCTCCCCGCTCTGGCTCTGGTGAATTCTCTCACCCTCCCGCGCTTCTGACTGTACCCAGTGCTTGTATAAATAAATAAATAAATCTTTAAAAAATAAATAAATAAAGAGCTTCTGCACAACAAAAGAGACAGTAACCAAAACAAAGAGACACCCCGTCGACTGGGAGAACATTTTTGCACCCAACACTAATGATAAAGGACTGGTCACAAAAATCTACAAAGAGCTGATGAGACTCAACAACAACAAAGAAAATAATCCAGTCAAAAAATGGGCAGAAGAGCTAAAAAGAAACTTCTCCTAAGAGGAAATGCAAATGGCCAACAGGCATATGAAAAAATGTTCAGCATCACTTGTAATCAAGGAAATGCAAATAAAAATGACAATACAATACCATCTGACACCAGTGAGAATGGCACATATTAAACAAAACTAGCTACAGCAAATGTTGGCGAGGATGTGGAGAAAAAGGAACTCTCCGAACTGCTGGTGGGAGTGCACACTGGTCCAACCACTATGGAGAACTGTGTGGAGACTTCTTTTTTTTTTTTTTTTAAGATTTATTTATTTATTTATTCATACAAGCACTGGACACAGTCAGAAGCACGGGAGGGTGAGAGAATTCATCAGAGCCAGAGCGAGGAGCAGAACAGGCAGAAGGACCGAAGCACACTGCTGAGGAGAGCAGCGGGCGGCAGGAGAGGTCTGCGCGCCTCACCCGGCAGTCAGGGATCGAACTGGCATTGCAGAGGCTGCCGGCAGCCTCCCAACCCAGCGCTCAACTGCTGCGCCACCGGGGAGGTCCTGTGTGGAGATTTCTGGACCTACTAAACATAGAGCTTCCGTATGATCCAGCAATTCCACTCCTAGATATTTACCCAAAGGACACAGAAACATCCATTCCGAAGAGCACCTGCACCCCTATGTTTATAGCAGCACTGTTTACAATAGCTAAGCTTAGGAAACAACCCAAATGCCCAAAAATAGATGACTGGATCAAGAAGATGTGGTCCATATACACCATGGAATATTACTCAGCAATCAAAAAAGATAAACTCATGTAATTTGCAGCAACATGGATGGAGCTGGAAGGGATCATGCTCAGCGAAATAAGCCAGAAAAAAAAAAAGAAAAATGCCAAATGGTCTCACTCATAGTAGGAATTTAGAAAACCTAAATAAGGGGGACCTCCTTGGTGGCGCAAGGGGTTAGGCACCACACTATGAAGTAATCCGTAGCCTCTGCAGCACGAGTTCGATTCCTGACCAGCCAGGGAGCAACCCACATGGCGCGGCAGACCTCCCTGACTCACCCGCTGCTCCCCTCAGCAGTGTACTTCCGTCGATCTGCCTGTTCTGTTCCCCGCTCTGTCTCTGGTGAGTCCTCTCACTCCCGGCATCTCTGGGGCCTGTACCCCAGCCATTGTATGCATAAATAAATAAATCTTTTAAAAAAACACTAAATAAGGGGCCAGGAAAAAGACTAATTATAATAAAGCAAAAATCAAAATCGACAAGCAACTATAAACCAGAGACACACTACAGGGGGTGGAGGAGGGAGGAGGATCAAAACAAGGGGGCTGGGAATTGCATGGGGACTATAACCAAGATGAAAATGCATACATTGTGCAAAAGTGAAAAATGATGTAAAAAATAAAATTTAAGAAAACGGAAAAAAAAAAAAACACTCACTGCCGAGGGCCATGGAGAGCGGGCAGCATCCAGCCGTGCACAGGGCCGGCTCCGCGGGAGCCTCCGTCCACCACAAATCCCTTCAGGCGCCAGTTCCCAGGGAGGCGCTCAGAGCTGTCCCCGCACAGACCTTGAGGGCTGGCAAGAGCTTCCTAAGAGCAGCGAGGGGCTCTGGACTGAAGAGGCCCATGCCCCAAACCACTGGGTGTACGCTTCAGTGGGAGGCTGTTAAAATAAAATGGAACCAGGGGGGCCTCTCTGGTAGCTGAGGGGTTAAGGCTCAGCGTCCACTGTGAAGGCCTGAGTTTGAGCCCTCGCCAGGGAGCTGACCGCAGGGCGCAGCAGACCTCTCCTGTCTCCCCACTGCTCCCCTCGGCAGTGTGTTTCAGTGGATCCACCTGCTCTGCTCCCCACTCTGTCTCTGGTGAATCCTCTCACCCTTCCTGCACTTCTGTCCTGCACCCCAGCTCTTGCATGCATAAATAAATAAATCTTAAAAAGAAAAGAAAAACACGACTAGTCCACAAGCAAATGAAAATACACTCAACCTCAAGGGCTACTGGTAAAACCTAAACTAAAGCATTTTTTAAAATGTATTATTTTTTTATTTTTTATATTTTTTAATATTTATTTATTTATTTATCCAAGCACCAGGTACAGTCAGAAGCGCGGGAGGGTGAGAGAATTCACCAGAGCCAGAGTGGGGAGCAGAGCAGGCAGAAGGACCGAAGTACACTGCTGAGGGGAGCAGCGGGCGGCAGGAGAGGTCTGCGCGCCATGTGGGACCCTCCTCCGGTGGCCGGGAGCAGCCAGGGATCGAACCGGCTATGCAGAGGCTGCAGGCAGCTTCGCAACCCAGCGCTCAACTACTGCGCCACTGGGGAGGCCCTATTTTTTTATTTTTAAACAATAGTTGCTTCCCCCTACCCCCTCAGGTGTAGTCCCCACAGAATTTCCTTCCCCAAGGCACCCGTGCACCATCACCTCAGTCCCCCGTGCGCCTCCCTCCCTCCCTCTGACCCCTCTCCCTCTTTCCCTGCAGGATGTCTCTGGTTTATAATTGTCTGTTTTTGCTTTGTTGTGTTTTGTACT